TGGGGCACGATGCCACAAGTCGTTGCACGTCGGTCAACATTTCTGGCCAGTAGTAATACCGCTGCAACTGTTGCTGTGTCTTTTCTACCCCGAAGTGACCTGAGGTGACTCCGTCTTGTGCCTCCTGTAATAGCCGCTCCTGTAGTAAAGTGTACTCCGGAACCAAGATGCGGTCGGTGCCGGCTTTTACATAACAAATCCCTTTTGCTACTACGAACTGCTGCGAATTTCTGCCTGTGAAGAATGGGTCTGTTTCATATCCATGGGTAAATAGTCCTGTCAGTAGCGGGGTGGTCTGGGTGAGTAGTACTGCATGGATTTGGGCAGTGGGGCGGGTCAGTGCGTCGGCGATGTTCGATGCCCATTTTTTGTAGGTGACCATATAATGAAAATTTGACTCGACGAAATCGAGCCAGCGGACCTGTCGTGGGTTGAGGTGGGGTTGTGCGCGGAGGTACTGTAGAGATTTATGGTCTGTCCGTACTGTCACGTCTGCGCCGGTCAAGTAACAGCGCCAGGCTTTGAATGCATGCACGATCGCGATCATTTCGCAGTCGTGTATTGGGTACTTCTTCTCGGACGGATGCCGTTTTCGTGATTCATATGCGATGGGCTGTAGGCCGTTGCCGATGTCCTGTAACAGTACAGCTCCGATGGCGATGTCGCTTGCATCCATAACGACTTCGAAAGGGCGGTGGGGGTCGGCAATGTACAGTACGAGCGGTGTACATAGAACATTTTTTAGGGCAAAGAAGGCAGCATGCTCTTTCTCCCCCCATGTAAACCCTACCCCCTTCCGCAGTAGGTCAGTCAGCGGGGCAGTTAATCGTGCCATGTCGGGGACGAACCGACGAACGTAATTAACAAACCCTACAAAATTTTGCAGTTCAGTGAGGTTCGTCGGGGGTCGCCACGCTTTTACCGTGTCTAGCTTCTTCGGGTCAATTTCGACTCCAGCCTCTAAGGGCGTTTCAATACCGCAAAGGGCGTTTCAATACCGCATGGCACACAAAGCCTACATCGTGCGGAAGCCGGCACATGATGATACCACGGATGAAGTCTCACCCCACAGTGTGGTGTGGACTTCAGGGGGAGAAGGACTGAGGTCTGCATTGGATTTGGTTCCTACGTCCACAATCACTGAAGGTAATAGAGGCGAAGGAGAGGACTCTACAAAACAAGACTTACCTGAAGCTGACGCAGCTGATGATGTCAGTGCAGCCGAAGGAAGCGGAGGTACAGCTGATGACTTACCTGGGATAGGCAACTCCATCCCGGAAGGCATGGAAAATGATGATGTGGGAAATGCGATGGTCAAGCCAAGTGCTTAATGGTCTGCTGAGCAATCATCAAGTCAAGTGTTCTGGTGTGGCCGCCTCGAGCAGTGCTGCACACCATGGCATCACCTAACTCCACACTCACTCACGTGCTTGTAGCTGTGTACGCGGTTATGTGCATGACTACAAGCACACGGGTGGGGGGAGGTGGGGTGTGGAATGTACCTGGTGGGACTAGAGTGGGACATGGAGTTAAGAAGCATATGGGGAAGACATACTCACCAAGGGTTGCCAATAGGCAGGGGGGGCAGGCAGAATGGATGCAGCAGGTCGTCGTCGGTCGTGTTGCAGCGGTATCGTGCGACTGGTTGCTACGGTTGAACGGCACCACCTAAGGGAAGAATGGATAACATACATGGGAGCACACATTTCTGCATTCCTGGTGTGCACATTACGGCATACTTGGAGTACTCGCTACTGCATACATGGGGACACACTACTGCATACTTGGCGTGCACTGCATACTTGGAGTGCACCTGTCAATCGACTTTACGTGGACATGCACAAACCTCGAGCTGATGGAGTTCGGCAACTCCTACTGCTCTTGTACGTTGGCTGGAGTGTAGGGGGGGCATCACAGGGCAACATGGGTGAAGTTTGAGCAAACTTGGCATCATTGGCAAGGCATGGGGAGAAAGGCCTAAGAAGATGCAGCAGGCGCGGACAGGAAAATGGTGCAGCCGACGCGCAACAGATCGTCAGCCGCTGACGAACGCCAGGTCGTTGTCAGAGGTCCACTGGTGATCCCCGCTTGATCCTAGGGAAGGGTTACAGGCTCGTTGTCATGGGGGGTTATGGGCGCACTGAACCGCTACTTAACAAGCCATTTTATCCCAATGGTCTCGTGGTTGGGATTCTGACAGTCGTCGCTTCTATTGCGCGAAGTGTGCGCCTGCCAATGTAGGTCCGCGCTAGCAGCACGTCATCTGTCATCCGCTATCGATTCGCGTCATCTGCAACTGCAATCGTCGCAGGCGGGCATCCGCTGCGGTTTCGCGTCGTTGCACAGCATGCGTGCGATGGCCAAAAGCAGAGACAATCGCGTGGCATAACGTCTACGGTTTTAGAAACCGGCGTGCGTTAAGGGCATTCCGCCATGTCAATACACGCATTCCGCCATGGTTACGAGGAGATTTCGCAACATCTGTTCCGTTTGAACAGTACTTTCCAACTCACCCTTATCCTCGTCTTCATTGATTTCCTTGTGCCACGTGGCACTCTACCTTTCATGCTTCTACTCTCTAGTCCCACAAAGTACTTTCTATCACTCAATCTTGCATGCTATAGCAACCTTCCTTGTATTCCCCAAGATAATTAATTCTCAATCCGTTTCATATGAAAGCTTTCTATCCTTTTCTTTCTACAAACACGTTTCCGCTACATTGGCAGTATGTCTTTATAGCATTTCCAACCACCCTCGTTTCGGCTGCTGATTTGAAGTTGATTCTACGATGTTATTTATGTTTTTTGGTTTTTTAATATATTTATAACGAATTTAAGAATTTCTTCATGCTTATATACCACTCGAGGGATCTAACATGGCGTATAGAAGATTGGTACATTTTTATTGCAATGCGGCTTTAAAAGATTGTTGTTGGTTTCATTGAGTGTATTGAGGTCGAACTTGTATAGACGCTTCAAGTGAGCATGAAGAATGCACTGATGCTGTGCGGTGTTGTTGTCAGGTGTTTCCGACAGCGCCAACTCACCAACTTTCTCTGCCAAGGATTCCACCTTTAGTCCGTGACTGTTCACATGGTGAGCAGACTGGAATCCCAGGGTATCTGCGGAAACCAATCACGCACTGAGCCCCAAGACCCATTTTGTTTGGGCAACTGCTTGGTCTTGACGAGATGCGTGTTTTCTGCTAGGCCAAAGGGAATTTCAGCCAGCATGTCTGGAAATTGACATGGATTTTTTTGGATCCACATCTGTACCCCTGCCCGTCGGGTTTTTTGTGCTGCAAGGAGATATTACTGTACACAACACAGAAGGTAGAATCGAGGCTGACAGCCGGAAAAATGAATTGGCGGAGCCGCAAGGAGAAAGCCTTCCCCCGCCAGTACCCATGCTCCTGCTCCCCCCGCGATACCTCTAAAATTGACTCCCCGTTCCCGTTCCTTTCCCCCAATGATCATGTGTACAGACGGCAGTCCTGGATCTTGGGCTTTGCGCAATACAGTACCCCTGCTCTTCCCCAGATTCCCCCCCCACTCATCCCCCAGCCCCCATTTTCCCGCCCGACCTTCCGAAGCGGCGAAGACACTGTTGAGTTGGTGGAAACCCTAGGTTCCTCGGTTGCTCCGAGTGAACCCCAACCCACAGCCACTCACTCTCTGACGCTGTGTCACAAAAGCTAGATTGCAATTCGTGGTTCGTTAGTCACGTAGGTGAGAAGCGGTAAAAAGCGGTATGTTGAATCAACCGTTCTTTACCGAGCAATAACTAATTTGTGACGACCGTCAAATCAACCTGAGCAGTGTCGTTGTGGCACTGTGCCGGCTAAACAGACTGACGCACACCATCCACTAGCCATGGCTGCTAACGCGAAGCGAGGAGACACCTTGTCGTTCATTGCATAAACACGCTGGAAAAACAATTCATGGTGCAGGGAGGATTGAGAACAACAACCCTAGCGGAGCTGTGTAGGAGGTTGTTGGTGCGTGTCCACAAAAAACAAGAGACAGGAAGCCCTTGGAATAGACCTGACATGATTCTTCTCGCCGCCACTGTTTTTGGTTCTCCCAAGCTCCTAAATCTACGCCAATTAGCTAATTACATAAACATCCACCCAAGCAACGACCGCGAAACTCTAGGACAGTTCCGTACAGTAACGTACTGTCCCGTTCTTGGCATAGATTTCATCACTGAATAGCTGTTTAATCTATCCTCACATACGTCTTTCAGTTGATCTGTGGTGTGATCCGTAAACGGTCATCGACTTCAGTCCTTACCGTCCAGTGTTCGTAGTTCCCCAAGTCGCCTTGGCATCTAATCAACGTCTTCTATTTTACTCGGGCGTCAAGTTCCTACCGTTTAGCGTTAGTCCATCCGTGTGGGCCGATTTTGTTCGGTCTGCCGAAGTCCGTACTTCCCAGGCTGCCCATTCGGCAAGCAAAGCTTCAACCTTGATTCAGGCAGACATGGCCAGGAATAGCTGGCCTTCGAGGCTGCAGTACAGAGTGCTCTTCTCGTTCTGCGTCGCCATGGCTCTCGTCTCGTCAGTCCATTCAGCCGACCCCGTGACCCTAAATGCCGAAATTTGTACGTCCTTTCAGAAACCCACCAGCTCCTACCCCAGAAGCTTCTGAGTCGACTCAAAAGTCTCCTCTGCCGACCCTGTGAACCTGAATGCCGAAATATGTGCGTCCTTTTAGAGACTTACCAGCTCTTAACTCAGAACTTTCGTCAGGCAAGGCACCACATGCTAGTCTTCTCTCCTCGCGTCCCCACCCGACCCGCTTCCCTTTCCCTCCTCCTGCACCTCCGTCCGCGCAGCGCAAGCAATGGCGAATATAGCGACGAGCCTTGAAGTGCCGGCTTTGTCCTGCGTCCACACGCTAATCTTCTCCCATCGCGTTCTTCCCTCCCCCACTCCCTTTCCCGCCTTCCCCTCAACCATTCCCCTCCCCTCCCCTCCCCTCTGTCCGTGCAGCGCAATCGATGGTTAGTTTAGCGACAAGTCTCAAAGTGCCGGCGACGTTCGGTTGGTTGGCGGCGCGGCAATGCAACTCCGCGACTGGATGGCTGGGAGTCACGTGCGACGCCGACGGTCACCCCGTTTCCATGTACGAACGTTTGTCGCAAACCAGTCGCGTGCGACTCAGGCCGATACCCTGTTCGTTAAGATGTCTCGGTAATACATAGCGTAGCGTGCGTTTCGCTGTTTCCCCGTTTCGACGGTCCTCTAGGTTCGTCGGCGTCGCGGCAATGTGATTCTGCGACTGGATGGTTCGGAGTCGCGTGCGACGCGGACGGTCTTCCCGTCTCCATGTAGAATCATGGTCACGTAGAACTGTTACAGTGTTACCCCATTCACTCTCTCGCTCCGTGAATGTTGTTCTATTCCCTTCGATGTCCCTCGCCACTCACCTTTCTCTCGAATCTTCGGCGGGCGAATCGACGTTCACCACGAGTTCGACCCGACCTACGTCTCGTTTTTTTTTTGTTTTTTTTTTGTTTTTTTTTACCCTTCGCCCTTTAACGTTCCTCGGATTCTCAGATTCTGCGCGCAGGCCTTGCTCACCGTGACCTCCCCGTCTCTTCCCCCTCTGTTCTATCCCTTCCCCGTTGTGGCATTGTGCATGATATCCGTGACTGGATATGATTGGACTTGATGCAACAGATCGTTCAACAAGCCCACGTGGACCGGCGGGTCGCTGCACACGTCTGTCGGCACTCTCAGCCGCCTGCAAGCCTTGTAAGTCTCGCCTTGCCTGCCTGCAAGCCTTGGGAATGCCGCGAGCCCACGTGGACCGGCGGGTCGCTCCACACGTCTGTCGGCACTCTCAGCCGCCTGCAAGCCTTGTGAGTGCCGCAAGCGGTGGGAGCGTTGCAAGCCTTGCGAGTGCGCCGAAACGTAAGAGTGCTGCGGTCCTTTGTGCATGCGCTTTAAGAGAATTTGCGAGGTTGTGTGCTTCTCCGTGACTCCTCCTATTAACTGGCATGCGTTTTTTGTTGTGCCTGTACTTGCTGTGCTTGTAACAGGTTGCTTAACAACCTGGACATGACTGGCAGCATTCCCACGGAAGTCGGGCGCCTGGTGAGCCTGTCCTCGATGTAAGCACTCTCTCTTACAATCACGCCCTAGTCGCCTCTCTCCCGTCTCCTTTATTGATGCATTCGTTATCATAACGCAAGCATTGTTCGCCCTCCTTCGCCTCACCCTCCACCCACCCTCTCTCTCTCCCTCACCCTTAACTCTCCCTTCTCAAATGCGTCCGCACACGTCTTTCCCCCTCTAACCCCCCCATCCTCGTTCCCCCCTTTCACATCGCACTCAATAGACTCGCGCTTTCGGCCCCATCTCCGCTAGTCTCGGCGACTTTTGAGGCGCCTCAACAACTTTTCCTCCCTCTCTCTCTCTCCCTCTCTCCCTCACCCCTCCCTCCCTTTCACAGCGCACTCAACGGACTCGCTTTAACGGGCCCCATCCCCGCTAGTCTCGGCGGCCTCACCAATCTCGCGAACCTGTAAGCCCCTTGTCCCTTCTCCGCGTCATCTCCCCTCCTCGTCTTCCCTCGTCACCTCCCCATTTCTCCCCCTCCCCATTTCACTAGGCGGATCCCCGCGGCGCTCGGCCAGCTCTCGCGCCTGCAGCTACTCAGCGTGTGGCCGTTCCCCCTCTCCCTTCCCCTTCTCCCCGGCCTCCTCCCACCCACCGCCCCCATTCCCCCCATCCGCGCAGCAACATCACGGGCGGCGCGTTGTCCGGGCAGATCCCCGCGGCGCTCGGCCAGCTGTCGCGCCTGCAGCTGCTCAGCGTGGGCTCCGCCGCGGCGTTCAACCGCTTCTCCGCCATCAACGGCGGCATTCCCGAGGCGCTCTGCGACATCGCGCCGCTCCAGTACCTGTAAGCGCGCGTGGGGGGATGGGGGGCGGCGAGAGGGGGAGGGGATGGGGGGCTGAGGTGGGAGGGGGAGGGGCAAGGGGGATGGGGGGCTGAGGGGGAAGGGGGAGCGGGAGAGGGGGGGGATGGAGCGAGTGATGGTGCAGGGGGAGAGGGGGGAGGGTGAGCACTAGTGGGTGGGGGGAGGGCGGGCGCACTGGTTGAGGTCCGGGGAAAGCGTGAAGAGGGGAGTGGGGGAGTGGGGGAGAAGGAGAGGGGGAGGGGAAAGGAGGGAGCAATGATTCAGTTGAGAGCTGTCCGCCGTCTGCCGTCCGTCCGCCGTCCGCCGTCCGTTGGCTGCAGTCTGCCGTCTGCTATCCACCCCATCCATTCCCCGCCTCATCCTGTGCGCTCCCCCCAAATCCTTGTCGCTGCCATTGCCCTCCTCGTGCTTCATTCGCCCGCGTCCCTCCACCCGGTTGATTCTCTTTCCCCTCTGCCTCCCGCCTCGTCCCCGCTCGGGCTCCGCTTTGAGACGTCTCAAGAAAAACGACTTTTTTTTTATTTTAATCTTGTGCCCGCCTTGTCCTCGCCTTCCCCCCCCCCCCTTCTCCCCCCGGCCCTCGCAGGAACCTGGGCTTCAACCGCCTGCAGGGCTCGCTGCCTCTCTGCCTCAGCGAGCCCTTGAGAATCGTTTTCTTATATATCCAGTGCTTGCCTCTCGCCCCCTCTCGCCCCCTCTCGCCCCCCTCTCCCCCTCGCAGGAACCTGGGCTTCAACCGCCTGCAGGGCTCGCTGCCTCTCTGCCTCAGCCAACTCACCAACCTCTTCTACCTGTAAGCCCACTCGTTACAAGCCCACTTGTTTTAAGCACCTTCTAAAGCACATATTTCAAGCAACCTCCTGAGCACACTCGTTTCAATTACGTGTCTCCCTCCTCCGTCCCTTACTTCCCCCCCCTACCCTTCGCCTCCTGCCCCTTCCTCCTCGTCTTAACCTCCCCTTCCCTCCTCCCGTTCCCTCCTCCCCTCCCCGCCCCTCCCCGCCCCTCCCCACCTCTCCTCGCCCAACGTCTCGTCCTCACCAGGGCCGCGCCGAGCAACACACTCTCCGACGACATTCCACCCGAAATCGCCGCCCTTCCTCACCTTTATGAAGTGTACGTGCTACATTCCCCCCAACCCCGTTCCCTGTCGTCCCCCTTCCCTGCGCGCCGCTGCCTCTCCTCATGCCTTGCCCACACTCTCCGACGACATTCCAACTGAAATTTTCCTCAGCGTACGCTCTACATCCCTTTCCCCCTGCGCGCCACATGCCTTCCCCTCCGCGCACTATATCCCTTCCCCCTGCTATGCGCGCTACATCCCTTCCCCCTCCGCTCAACATGCCTTCTCCTTCTGTGTGCGCTACACTCTTCCGCTGCCTGTTACGTGCCCTCTCCTGTCCATCTTTCAGAGCCCGATTCACTCCTCACTCCCTCACTCCCTCACTCATGCCTCACACTCCCTTCCTCCTCTTCCACCCCCCTCCCCTTCCACCTGCAGAGACCTATCCAACAATCTCTTCACCGGCCCATTCCCAGAGTTCTCAACCGAACTCGACTCCCTCACACTCTCCAAGAATCTTTTCTCCGGCCCGCTCCCCACCTCTCTCCCTCCTCTCCTCACCTCCCTCGCGATCAACACCAACTACTTTACCGGAAACCTCCCCATCTTCTTCCCACTTAACCTGACCTACATTGACCTATCCGAGAACTATTTCACCGGGATTGCCAACGTTTTTGTCGGGAAAAGTCTCTTCTACGCCTTTCCTGTGAAATGCGCTGCGCTCGGCGCTGCACTCTCCAAAAACTGCTTCTCGGAGTCATCTAAATGCACTACCCCTGAAGCCCAGCGCAACAGCACAATGTGCAAGGCCGCCTGCGGGACGGGTGTGTGGGAGCCGCTCGTTAAGGGGAAGAGTCAGTGCCAGGGGTATGGAACCTGCTACCCTGATATCCCCACCACCACCACCACTGTCGCCACCTCTCAGCCCCTCTCCTCCCCCACCACCTCGACCATCAAACGTCCCAGGCTCGCCCCCGGGTCTCTCCCCCCTACCTGGACTTGCGCGTGTGATGCAAACGCGGTGAATGTGGCGAATAGAGATGATGCGTGCACTTGCAAGCAGAAGCGATCCTGGCCGTGCGTTGCTCCCGGGCGGGTTAACGGCGGCTGCCCGAAATTTGCTCGCTGCTACCCGTACTACTTTTCGTGCCGCGGCGTGGGTTGTTTCTGTCTCAGCGGGTACACACCCACTTATAATGCCCGGAAGGAGGTAGTGTTGTGTACACCCAAGGCAGCTGCTGCCACCCGAACCGGCACCAGGAGCACCTCTCTGAGCGCACACGCAGCCTCGGTGGCCGAGCGGCTAGGCTCAGTGCGAGGCTCGGGGATGCTAGGTTTGGTGTCCGGTCCGGCGCGAATGGGGATGGAAGTTGCAGGAGCCGTGAGTGAGGGGGTGCAGGCTGTTCAGGAGGAGGTGGAGGAGGCTGGGGCGAGAACGGTGAGGGGACCGGCTCGGATTGACCTGGAAGTGGAATTTGAGAGGGCGGAGCAGGCAGAGTTGATTGCCGATGAGGAGGAGAAGAGGGGGCAAGAGCAGCAGAAGGAGAAGGGGCAGAGAAGAGGCGGCAGCAGAGGCAGCAGCAGCACTGAGCTGCTTCACTCACTCGCGTCGTTCATTGGCTCCTAGTGTGTTCTGCAGGTTTTTTAACAGGTGATTTGCGTTCGGGGTCATAAACTGCTTGCTTGCTTTGCTGCTCAAGACGCCTGTCTTTGGCGCCCCTTTGTTGACTTGTTCGAACCTTGCTGGGTTTGTGGGATGTTAAACACTGGCTGGCTCTAGAATTGGAGCCAGAATTAAATAATTAGTCATAGGGAAGGGAGACCGAAGGTACTGAAGTGAGATTGTAGGGGTTTTGTTGAAGCCCAGCTGCTTTTGATGTAATTCTATTCATTTATGTTGTACTATTCAGTGATGTTCAGCAACTATGTGGTCTTGTCTTCCCAATCATGAAATCTGTACACCAAGGCTGTTGCATAAAATTGAAATTCATTGTATCCAATTCGTGCCCTGCCATCAAAATGGCCTGTACAAGCATACCGGTAACCTTTATCTAACAGTTGGCATAGGCATCCATGTCAGCAGCATGTCAGTCCGCTTCCTCCTCCCATGCATCGTCCACATCGGCACTCAGATGAGACAAACCAATCTTCGGCTTTTTCGCCGCCCGAGACTCTGACTGCTGCCCGTCCCCTCCCTCCTTCCCTTCTCCTTCCCTGTCTGCTCCTCCGTCCTCCTTCTCCCCTTCCTCCTGTCTCCTACGAACCCTCTGATTCCCTTCCACCTCCCCTTCTCCCTGCTCCTCTCCCTTCTCCTCTCCCTTCTCTTCTCTCTTCCCTTCTCCTTTCCCTCCCCCCTCCTCCATCCCAGCAACACCAGTTACACCTTCTCTTCTCCCCTGCTCATGACTGTCAATCCCTGTTTTTATCTCAACACCTCCCTCCTCTTTCGCCTCCCCTCCTTCCCCTGCTTCCCCTCCTTTCCCTCCTCCGCCTTCCCCTCCCTCTCCTCCTTCCCCACCATCCTTTCCCTTTCCTCCCTCCCCGCCCTTCCCTTCCTCCCCTGCTACTTCCCCATGCCTCGCATCCCCTCCTTTCTCTCCCCCCTCAACTTGTTCCTTCTTCCCTTTCTCCTTGCCCTTGCCTCCACCACTGCTAATCAACTCCTCCTCCAGACCCTCCAATAGTCTCTTAATCTCCTCATTCCCAGCCAAATCCGCGGCCTTCTCGCCACTCTTGCTCCGCATACCTAATAGCTCCTTGCCCCCCTTCCTAGCAAGTAACTTAACTACTTCCGGAAAGTTCTTGGAAGCTGCGAAGTGCAAGGCAGTCATGCCCTTTCTAGTGGCCGCAGCCGGCTTGGCTCCTTCCGCCAGCAGCGCACGCGTGGCGCTGACCTGGCCCTTCTGCGCCGCGAAGTGGAGCGCTGACGTGTCGTCTGCGGCTGCCGCGTTGACCGCCGCCTTGCTGGCGCACAACAGGGTGATGACGTCAGCATGGCCCGCCCAGGCTGCCAGATGAAGCCTGATTAGACGAGCAGTGCGAGACGAAGAGGGACACAGGAGAGGGGGAGGTGGAGGGAGAGGGGAAGGGGTAGTGTTCGAGAAGGAAAGAAAGATGCGGGTGGGGGAGGATATGGGGGAGGATATGGGGGAGGATATGGGGAAGGATATGGGGGAGGATATGGGGGAGGATATGGGGAAGGATATGGGGAAGGATATGGGGAAGGATATGGGGAAGGATATGGGGGAGGATATGGGGAAGGATATGGGGAAGGATATGGGGAAGGATATGGGGAAGGATATGGGGGAGGATATGGGGAAGGATATGGTGGAGGTGGGTGGCAGGGACGGGAGGGAGAGAAGGGGGAGAACGGGGGAGATAGGAGGGGTAGTACTCGATGAGACATAGCAGGGACGCCTAGGGTTGCCGAGATGATAGAATTAGCGGGAATCAGGGAGATACGGTGAATGATCGGAATTAACAGGGGGGAAAATTTAGGGTTTTCAAGGGCAGGAATGGACTGATGAGACAGCACAGCGGCAAACAGCGTGTAACAACGTGTAACCACGCCTAAAAGCATCTCGGCTTTTTGAGGCGTCTCAAATCTCGCCAATTCTTACGGCGTGCGGTTCAGCTTATCGCGCGCGTTGAAATCGGCACCATCCACCACTATCTCGGTTCAGGAGGAAAGGGGGAGAAGGGGAGAAGGGGAGACGGGGGGAAGGGGAGGGGGGGAGGGGGGGCGGGGGGGAAGTGGTTCTTACGGCGTGCGGTTCAGCTTATCGCGAGCGTTGACATCGGCCCGATCCACCACTATCAACCGTCGAACCGCCTCCAAGTCGCCGTTTCGTGCGGCCGTGTGAAGTTCCACGGCGGAGCTGTCCTCCTTATTATGGGGCTTCGCTTTCCGATATGATCTCTGCGACATCCTCTGCGAACTTCGTCGTCGCCTCAACCACTCAAGAGCAACTAGAGGAAGAGACCAGTACTAGTACACTATAATCTGCTCCAAATTATATGAACAATAGGCGGATCACCCAAGCTTACGGGGCACCACGAGCATCGAGATCGGAAGGTGCGCCTCGTTCAAGTGTGTTGCTTGCAAGAGGCGAATTAAGCAATGTTATTGACAGTCCCGCAACAAGTAAAACGTTGTTCCGTCATGTACAAGTGAAGTTATTGCTATATATTTTTATGTGGTGGCAAAGTTCGTTGTTGTGAAGGTTGCTTGTGAAATGCAAGTTGGGCATGGAGAGTTTTTTTTTTTTTTTTTTTTTTTTTTTTTTTTTTTTTTTTTTTTTTTTGGTGGATATAAGTACACTACCAGCATACATACATCCGCAGTCGTAACTGTTGCTAGGAGGGCATGTAGAGGCTACAAGTACACAGGTAACCAGAGCCCCCCTTATCCTTTTACGGAGGTTGGAAAGCTACACCGCCATCTTCCCAGATCGCCTTAAAACCCGCTCTCCACGTCATCGAGGCCTCTGTCTCGTAGAGCCTGCGCATAGCACCTGCTTCGTCAGCATTCAGGTGGCTCCAGTCACCCGTCCTTTCCGAGGCATTTCTGCCAGCCGTTTTCTTCCGCGCTCTGCTGTAGATCTTCACGTGCCTCGTGAAGCCAACCGCTATGCGCCTCAATGCTCTCTTTGGTTGGAAACGGCTACCGCGGAAAACCGCGTTGCACCTCTCCAGCCAAACTTGATGCGCTGTTATGGATATGATTGCCGCCTCTGGAAAGCCTGTTGATGTGCCACTCCTTTGGAAGAGCATGTCACCGAGAGATCGCATGTCTCTGCCCGGATTCATACACTGAACCGCTTTCCTCATCACCCCCACCACAGGTTGGATCGTCGGGCAGCTGAAAAGGCAGTGATCCTGCGATTCCACTCCACCACAGTACGTGCATTTCGCCCTCGCGCCCAAGAAAGGGAGCCGTTCTCCCACCTGGAGGTTGTTACTGTGCACCCTCAGTATTACTTCCCGTGCCCTGCATGGGGTTGCCAGTGAGTCACGGACCATGATGGCCTTCCCCCAGCCGATCTTCCTCCCCAGCTCCTCTTCCCACTTGAGCTGCTGTTTCTGTTGCGTCACCGAGGGTTTCATCGCCTTCCTCAGCTTCTTTAGATCAGCTCGCTCGCCTTTCTCACAGATTGTGGAAAAAAGCAGTCGCGTTCTTGGAGCGCCGAGTAAGCCGCGGGCCCTCCCGTCTATGACTGCCATGGGTGAAACGCACCGAAAGTCCACCGTTCCCACGCTAGCATATTCCACCTCACCTATGTTCCCTTTCTTGTCCACCGTCACTCTTCGACCATATAGTTCGCCGTTGCTCACATACTGCAGCTGGTAGTAAAAGAACACTCCTGGCCGGTAAGACGCAGAGCGGACCAGCCTTGTTTCCCTGAATAATTCCTCCGCAGACAGTTGGTTGAGTACCAGATCCTTCCACCTCTGCGGCGCCGCCTCCCACGCCTTCAGGGCCCATTTCCTCTGCTCCTCACCTCCCAGTTCCCTCTCCAGAACCTCCTCACTCTTACGAGATCTGCTGCCATCCCCTCCTTTCGCCACCAAATCCCCCAGTCGAATGCCCTTCAGGCAAAGCGAACCCGCCTGGTTTCCAAAAGGTGATCTACCTCTGAAGAAAATATTGCGATTGAAGAGTAGCTGCTCCTCCTCCGCGTCCCACCTGTGTGCCGGGTCGCCTATGGTCACCAGTTTTGAGTCCCACAACGCTTTAATAGTGGCTTTCCATCTCGTTCCTCCCCCCAGCCAGGACTTCAGGACCGAAGGGTGCGCGTAGATTGTGGCCAAGCCGAGGGGAAAAGCCGCCGCTCTCTCCCATAACCAATTCCGAAGTGGCTCCTGCTCCGCCAGGGCCTTCCCCAATCCTTGAATCACCATGCTGTCAATCCGGTGCTTCAGATCAATCACACCCAGGCCTCCCTCTTTCCGTCCTCTGCACGACAGTTCGTAGCTCCACAGCGTGAAGTGCCTGTCGAGGAGCGCCTTCCCTCCCGAGATAAAATTGTGACAAAGCCTCTTCACTTTAGTCCAGACCTCGTATGGTGGGGCGTAGATCTGCGCCTGGAAAAGCAGGATCGGCATCGCATAACTGTTAATGATTGTAACCCGTGCCGAGGTTTTGAGATGTTTAGTCTCCCAGCAGCTCAACACCGCGCTAACTTTTTCAAAAGCCTTGTCCCATGCAGGTCCCGGTGAGCCTCCAGAGGTGATCCAGATTCCGAGCAACCTTTCAGACGCGTTCTTATCCGCCCACTTGAAAGACGACGCTATCGGCTGCAGCCTCCTTCGATTTTTTCCCAGCGGCATTAGTGTGGTCTTATCGCGGTTCACCTTCAACCCTGAGATCTCCGCGAACTCCCCCAGTAGTTTCTCAGCAACCGCCACCTGCTCCTTGCCCTTCAGTACCAGTGTCGTGTCGTCTGCATACCCAATGTAGTCTAGGCTCCCTTGCACACCTCTCTTCCTGACCCCCAGTTTCCTCCGTTCTATTTCTTGACAGAGTGGCTCAACCGCGCAGAGGAAGAGATATGGGGCAAGCGGACAGCCTTGACGTACCCCTTTGGCCATCTCCACCCGTTCTCCAATCCAGCCATTCAACAGCACCTTCGTCGCCGCTCCGTCGTGAAGACCCTTCACCCATCTTGTGAACTTCCCCGGGAAGCCCATGTTGTCCAGCGTCGTGAAGAGGTATTCCCGTGATACCGAATCGTAAGCTTTCTGAAAATCGACCAACAACAGCAACCAGTCCTCGTCCTCCTGCTCCGCAGCGTCGATCGCATCCGCTACCAGAGAGACAGCGTCAGTGAGGCTCCTTCCCGGAAGAAAACCGAACTGATTGCTGGAGATCACTCTCGGTAAGACCACCTTGATACGATTCGCCAAAACCTTCGCCAGTAGTTTGTAGAAGAAGCTCAATAATGTAATCGGCCGGTAATTTCCCAAATCATCCCTGTCTCCTTTTTTGTGCAGAAGTATCGTAACCGCCGTCGTGAAGGACTCCGAAAGCACACCCGCTGATTCGAAAATCCTGACTTCCCTCATCACCGCCGGGCCCAACAGCTCCCAATTTCTTTCGAAAAATTCTTTCGGCAAACCGTTCTGCCCCGGGGCCTTCCCCGCCGGCAAGCCTTTAAGCGCGGCCTTCACCTCCTGCTCCGACCATTCACTGTCCAGCTGTAAGCGATCACTCTCCTGCAGCGTCTTTCCCTCTTCAATCGGCCACGGCTCCACAGGATCGGACGACGGCGACAGCGCGTAGGCTTCTCGGAAATGTTCCGAGGCCGCTTGCAGCGCCTCGCTTGCACCCTTCCTCAGCACCCCTTTGAAAGTAAGTTCCGCTGTCTCAGTTTTCGCCTTCCTGGACTTGACCAAGCCCGACAGGAAGCCTGATGGAGTCTCCCCCGCCAGCTCTTGCAGCAACCCCGTCAGAACTTGCAGCCGCTCTTTGTTACTGTCCTGGTAAAGCTTGAGAGCCGCTTCGTTTTTTATCAGGTCCTCGTACAGAGCCTGCGACGAAGGGTCTGACTTCACCTTCCATCTGAGCTCTTCCACCTTCAGCTCCAAGTGCACCATGGTCGCCTTAACCCTTTTCCTCTCCTCCGCTACATGAGCTCTCATGCTTGCTCGCAGGTTCGTCACCAGCCTCTCCAGGCCCTGGTCCGGATAATTCGCTTGCGAGTCTAGTACCGCCGATATGATGTTCCTGACGCCTTCACCCCCAGCATGGGGTGCCTGAAGCCTCCACAACCCTGGACCATGGTCATCTGCCGATGCAGCCTTGAGCGACACCGACATAGCAAACCCGTGATCTGTTAACCCGTATGGGACCATTCTGTGTTTCGCCTCCACTACACAGCTGAGAAGAGAGCGTGACACTAAAACCCTGTCAATCCGTGTGCTTGCTTTTGCAGATCTCGAGAAGAAAGTGTACTCCTTCCTGGTCGGATGGAGACTCCGGAAAGCATCATGCAGATCCCATCTCGAGCAAATTTGCAGGAGCCTCTGGTTTTCCGCCGGTGTTCCCAGTTTTGAGGATTTGTCCAGCTCTGGATCCGCAACGATGTTAAGGTCGCCAAGAAGTATGGTATACGGAGAGACACCCAAGCTCTGCACAAAGGGTGTTAGTACGTCACGAAAGAAAACCCCCCTAGCGGGTGCTTGTGCAGGTAAATATACAGCCACCACTCTGCATGTCAGATCGCGCCATGCGATCATCAAACTTATGATACGGCCGGACTCATGCTTAACCACGTCCGTGAACCGCATGCCTGGCAGGAAACCCAAGACCGCCACCCCCCCGACTCTCTGCGACGGGCCAACCACCGCTTGTGCTTCCGACCTGACTTGCGTCCAGAAGTTATGATCTTGTTAAACTCGTGTGTCGGTGAGTACGACTACATGCGCTGCTTTCCTGATCCACTTTCCGCATCTCTCTTGTTTCCCACAGCTACCGAGCCCGTTGATGTTGAGCTCGAGGAAAGTTAAGCTGTTGCGTTTATCCATTAACCACTGTCCTTGAGCCCCACAGCATCCACGGGCGGTTGATCTTTATTGCGACGATGCATCCAGCTACAGCAAAGGAGAACATGACACCTACTACGCAACTTGCGCCAAACAGCCACAGAGTCATCTCATCCACTAAGCCGCTGCTCACTTCTTTGCCGGCGTGATCATGAACTCTTTTTTGAAAGCAGCCATTTTCTGAGAGTTCTTGCTGGCGCGTGTTGTAGCACCTTCCTTCTTCAGTCCTCCCTTGTGCCTGGCAGAAGCGACATGAGTCGCCGCCTGCTCGAAGCGATTCCCTTGAGCCTTCTCGCATACAGTCTGTACGCACACCCACTCCTCCCGCACACCTCCTGTAGAGGTGAGTATGACTGCGGGGTCTTTCAGAATGCGTGTCAGAGA